CCCCCCTCCCCTGCCATGCATTATGAACGCAGCCTAAAGATGTTTGAATTTGAGTGTGTCTCTTATTTTACCTAATAGTTCTGTTGAAGGTTTTAAATCGATTCTAACTCATTAACATTTTATTTCACTATATTTGACAATTTAGATCCAAATGTAGATAGCAATTGAAAATATTATTAAATTTTGCTATGTTAATTATTATAATGAAGTGTAGTAATACCGTTTACATTGCTGAGACCGCTTTGAGATACTGTTAGAATGTTTCATCATGCGAGTGGTCCATCAAAAAATGGTCCTACGGAAGCTGTTTGGAGAAAATCTATCGATTTCCATTATTTTTATGCTCAGTTTTTCGCCCAGTTTGCCKCGCAACTACTTGCAATAGATACATGTTCTCAAAACTTAGCCTGCGTCACATCCGGAATTTTCTTTGTAAATACCGTCGGACTTATTCGAAAGAAAAGGCCGGATGGAACGCAGGCTATCAAAACTTTGCAGACAGAATTTTGACCATCTATTTCCAGAATCATGGGATTTAACGTTGACTTTTAAACGAACAGGAGGACAATATTGTGAAAAACCACTTTTAGAAAATTGGTTCTTAAAACGGAACTTGTTGACTCAAAAATAAAATTTCAAATACAGCGTTAAAATTAAAAGCCTTAATGTTAGAGCTACTACATGTGCTAAATTCAGAATTATCGAGTGGTTTTGGCGCCATACGAGCGAGTTAAAACAGTCGCTAAATTCGTCGAAAGAAATAACATGGAAAGAAATAACCGTGGGTACTTWGCTGTCAGCGAGACAACATAACGGGTTGCTTGTCTACGGTCTAGAGGCCGATTAACGGGGTTCGTGCTACACCTCCCGACACAAAATTCAATAACTTTTTAAGGACTTTTCAAGGTCCAAAGTTATGATTATCAAGGATCAATTTTGTTTGTGAATTCCTTCTTAAYAGTGCATAGGAACCATACATTATTTTCAGGCTCCATTTCATCGACGTAAAATAATGGAAAATAGCATGTAAGWTAACAACCTTATTCACGTAAGTAATAAATGGATTTTCAACAAAAATTAGGTTACAGTAGATRATCATRATAAATAAGTAACCGTTGCATTTTCACGGAGTATTCCAGGAGTATCCAGCAACATTGMTATTTTCAAGGGCTTTTCAAGTGCACTTAAAAATGGGTTTTRAATTCCAGGGCTTTTCAAGGATTTCAAAGAGTAGCACGAACCCTGGATTAACCTCTCCCTTGGGCTACGGCAGAGCCGGCTTCCTGATCAGTCTGTAATTCCTCMCGGGATAGCGATGTCGGGGCCGATGACGGGCCGACATCTCCGGCGTAGCCGTGAATGGTTCGCGCGCGGCCATATGAAGCTTCAGCCGTCTGGAAGTATATGGTTTCCGGTTATTTTGAATCAATCACTAAAAGTAATTCCAAAAACCAATCTCTTTAGTAACACATATTGCATGCAAGGAGTGTGGATTGAACGTGGAATGAACCTCGCGAAAAAGCTCCTATAAAAAGTTTTTGATTCAGCTAAATTTATATCTCAAACGCAAAACAAGTTTTAAAAATGATTGAAAAATCACAAATAAGTGTAATTTTTTTACTGAATCTAAAGCGCCGCACACAGACGACATGTAGTGTTTGATCCATTGATTGATATAAAGCGCCGTAGGAATTTCATTTTGATAAATCAATATCTTCGTAGATCTTTCGTTATCCTTCCAAATGAGTTCTTTTAATTGATTAAAATCAATCATTGTGTTGACACATAAAAGTAATAAAAGGAAATCCAAACTCACTTATATCGCGAATAGTCATGTTTTCTATGATGTGGAGATAAATGAGTCGAGGAGTGAGCAGGCGTTCTTTCACCTCCTATTAGTCAATCAAACTGTTCTCGCACGACTCTTTTCAAGTCTTCCAATTATCAAAAGTTCTTCCATTAATACTGTGCAAAAGTACATTAGCACAGAAAGTAACCCCATTAATATAAGACCACTTTCTTCTTCCTAAAAAAGAAAGATAACCATTCATTCAACCACAGAATCCTTTTAGCGTGCAACACAAAATACACAGTTTGTCAAAATGTTTGAAAAGACAGGTGAAGTCCATTTGCTACATAGAGTTTTCCTGATGTACATTAGCACTTATCAATATATCAAAATTCTAAAAATATGCTCTTTCTTATGCAAACTTTTTCAACGTATTGAGGCCAATGACGTTAGTATGTAAGAGTCTCAGAGATCGAAGGAGGAGGAATGTGGCGCATGCGATAATTACGGCGCAAACGTTACCGCCAAACAAACAGAGACTACAGAGCGACATCAAATGATCTTGTTTTCCTTTACAGAATGAACGCGACCATTACTCCTACCTTGAGTGAAAGGATGGTAGAATACATCAACCGCAGTCCAGCTACCATCGCTGTAGAGACAAGTATTTTTGTCCTTATTGGACTGATTGCCATTGGAGGAAATCTTCTGGTAGTAATCTCCATCTATCGTAATCCCAGTCTTCGTACCATCACTAACTACTTCGTACTCTCGCTAGCTGTGTCTGATATTTTGTACCCGGTCACTGCTCTTCCACTAACCATTGTTTGGTCGGTAGAAAGTAGTTCCATTCCTGSAAAAAGWWYCTGYGTTTTYCAGGCAATAGCTAGCTTTGGTYTGTTAWWCGTTTCAGTTACGACTATGGTGGTTATGGCCGTCAATCGGTTCGTCTGCGTTTGTAAACCTCAGAAGTACAAGATAGTATTTAGCAAGAAGAAATCGTTGGTCATTATTGGCKTTGTTTGGATCATCAATTTTACTTTGATGACAATAAACTTCAACGAACAAGTATTGCATCGCGCGGATTTCGAACCAAATAAAATCTGGTGTGGTTTGGTACTAGCGAGAAAAACCTYTATAACCAMAATARTCATAARCGTAGTTTTAGTGGTTATTCTAGTAGTTCCATTCAGTATTATCTTCTACTGCTACTTTAAAGTATTCGAAAAAATACGAGAACACAAGAAAAACGTCGCTCCTGCCTCCAACCCAAACAACCTGGGCACGAGTGTTCAAGAGATCAAGGTCACGCGGACTATGTTTACAGTGCTGATTGGATATTGKGCAACATGGATTCCAGTCCTCGTTATTGTGTTGGTGTCAATCCATACGCGTGTGCCACGTGAAGGTCACATGATGGTGACGTATGYAGTAGCAAGTAGTAGTGCTATTAACCCTGTAATATATGGAGTAATGAACACCGCGTTTAGACWAGAGTATAAGAAGATTATCAAATGTCGTTGAAATAGATCGTAGTAAGCCGAGAGCGTTTGGTATTCGAGCTATAGAAACGGCGGATCCAGGAGTCATTTAAAATTGCAATATCGAAGATTCTTATGAGCATAATAGTTGTACATTGCCCAACCCACCTTTGACTTGTCGGTGAAAAGGATCATAGTAACGAGAATGTTTTGGAACTAAAACATAAAAATCACTTTCTAATGGTTCCACAGAGAAGAAGAGCACTCAAAAAACTTTGACGTCTTAATGGACAATTTGTACTTTTCGTTTCGCCGCTTTGGGGCTTCACGTTAGACCTCAATTAAAATTGAGCTTAAAAAAAAGTTAAAAACTATGTAAAGTATATTAGTATGCTTCGTAACATTCCTGCGTCGCATAACATGCCGGAAACCGCGTATAGAATTATTTATAGGTCTCTTAARAAACTCATTTTAAAATWATTCATGAAGGAAACACAATAGAARTCATGAYCATGAAGGTTGATTTTTATCTGATATAGATTCGTCTTCATTTGCATTAACTTTAACTTGGATTTTCTCTATCAAACTTGGWTCATTTCGTAAAGAATACTGTACAATATGAGAACATACATCATGAGTTTTTTAAGCCGATAAAACACTCCTGCTCGTTTATTAAACAGTACACAACACTATGAACTTCAAAGTAGTCTATATTCTAGTTGTAGAGAAAACTGGCTGTCAAGTTTGGTATCGATGTGTGTTGGTTTTAATATACCATACTCTCATAAGCTCACCGTTCTTCTCGCTTCGATGCAAAGGCACGGCTATCTTTCAAGATGGCGCAGGGAACTGTGAAGGGGGCTATTCACATGTTATGGTGTCCACAGGGCTCGAACCAGTGACCCGAAACTTTGGAACCTCAGTGGTGAAAGACGACGCGTTAGCAACGTATGCTACCCACAAATGGAAAACATGCTGAAACGCACAAATGCGCAAAACGTTTTTCTCTAGTGAGCATACGAAATAATAAGCACTAGTGACGTGGTTAATAATAGTTTATTAAGTCCATAGCTTACTTACAAATTAAATCAGTGCTCATGGATAACATTTTATATTGAAATACTTGAAGCATATGTATATAGTCGTCACTGTTARAGATAGTGACTCTTGACTTGAAGACTAAGGAATTAGATTTTGTACACTGGTGACGAAAATGTAAAGAAACTTTGTTCTGAAATCGAAGAGAGAAATGAGTATGGAATGTAGAATAATATTTTTGTACTGAAAATTAGATTGAATGCACTGGGAATAGGATTGAGTCCCATTTCAGGTTTGTAAATGGACTGTMTCCCATGAGTAAGAAGTGGGGTTTTGGAATTTCCCCTATTCAAAGTATTAACGAACGCCATTTGAGTGACAYTTGAGCAGTTGACCATTACTGGAAGCGTGAATAAAGAAAAGTGAATAAAGGAGTGTCACAGTTTAAAAAATATTTTCTTCAAGCAAACATGGTTAGCAATTGGAATCACTTTCAGATTTAGGAATTTACAGGCAAGGCAAGAAAACGATAAACTTTTTCCTTGTTTTTAGACGTTTTTTTTTTGTTATTGCGAAAAAACATATCGTTAATAGATTCCCATTTAGTATCCTCTTATTGAACATAGATGACAATAACTTAAAATGTCCAAAACTTTACAGCAAAACCACTTGTGATTCATGCACTTGAGTTTTGAACATTAAAAGACGTCATCTATGCATCAGTAAGGGAACAGCCCATGGAAATCTATAACTGATTTGTTAGATAAAAATGCATTTTTTTCGGCTCTTACATCCGAGGACGCACTCTACTTGGAAGTGCTGTCGGATGTACCATAAGTGATAAGGCCATTCATAAGACCTGGATCCTTATGACAACCTGTAACCCCATAGCGTGAATAGACGACCTCTTTATTTAGCTTGGACGTAATGTATTCCCATTTCAGACCACTTGTCATTTTCTTGGGTATTATTTCTTTGTTTAACGTTTGCGCACGAGAAGACACATGAATATAGATACCATTCAAACAAAGAATCTTATTCTCAAGAGAATGACACGAGGGCGTAATGTTTTCCCATTTCAGACCACTTTTCATTTTCTTGGGTATTATTTCTTTGTTTAACGTTTGCGCATGAGAAGACACGTGAATATAGATGCCATTCAAACAAAGAATCTTATTCTCAAGAGAATGACACTATAGCAAATGGGAAACATTACGCCTATAAGGTAAARAGGTCTTTTCAAGAAGGAAAGGAGTAAGAGCTCGAGAAATGAATTGTCTTCTTCGTGAGTGCAGATGAGTCGTCCTTAAAAGACTTGCATGTGGAGGATGCCCTCCAATATGGCGGAATTATCGTGATCATTCATTGCGCATTAAAATACAATACTGTTAAAACAGAGCTAAAGGAAGCAGAAAAGTATTATCAGCGAAACTTGATGTTTACTTGAAAGCACTTGTCTTTTCKGTGAAAGCAGATATCTTCTTAAGACGCGTGGAGAAAATTCATTATTCCCTCCAATATGGCGGCAATTTTCACGTGATCATTCATTGCGCACCTAATAAAACCGACCGAAAGGAAGCCGAAGGACAGCTGTTAGCAGGGAAACTTGATTTTTACTCTCCTCATGACATCAAATTTATATACAACTGTGTGTTGTCAGAACGAGAACGACAGGACATGGTAGGGAGGATATCGATTGTCACAGTGTAACCTGGATGAACGATGTGCGAATGGATTCATTAGTCGTCCTCGGGTTTTTCTCCGTCTTCTTTTTGTCCATCCTGCATGTGGAAAGAAAAAACTATTTGAATAGTGAACATATTTTTGGCGAAATTCCAAGTAACATTAACAGAAATTCGTAACAGTATTAGTTCAGTAACAGTATTACAGTACTACTAACATCATTATTGTCGTTATTTTCTGTCTCGTTTACTTCTTCGATGTCTTCTTCTTCGACTTCTTCTGCAGGCATTTGATCGATTGGTTTGTCTTCTTTCACATCTTTTTGTCGAAAAGAGAAAGAATTGTGGTAAGTTATCAAACTTGCATCAAAACTTCAGCTCAATGAAAAATTTCCCAYTAAGCCTGGTATACGCAACACTGAAAAACATTTCACAGCGTCATGGCATAACATTGAAATTTTTTTTCTACTAGCAATGCAATGTATAGCATTGAAATTCTTCTAGCATGGAATACYATACAGTAAAATGGCTTCCTGCTAACATGATACATTCAAATGGTTTTCTGGCGTGTGACACCTGCAACAATGAAATTGGTGCCACAATGTAATAGCATAGCATTGAAATGGTTTCCCACTACCATAACACTGAAATGGCTTGCCTACAGCACTGATAGGGCTTTCTCATGCTGCGCAATAAACAATAAGTATRAATTAGTTTCTATCAACGTTAAATGTAGATTAAACTTTAATGGCTTATTTCAATGACTTGTGTACTTTACCTTTATCGTCCTGTACTTCTTTGGCCTTCACTTGTTCTTTACCGCTTGCTTTATAAACCTCATCTGTTGGTGACTGACTGCTGAGCTCTTCCACCGGTGGTTGGCTGATGAATTCTTCTTGTGTTTCTTCCTCAATCGGTTCTTCTAGCGGTGGCGTTCGTATATACTTTTCCTGTACCTCTTCTTTGATTGGTTGTTCTTGTTTTCCAGGATAATTCTCGCGTGGAGAAAGAACTGAGCTTGCCTGTTGATGGTACRAAGATGGAGCAAGTCAGAGAGTAGCCTGCGTGCAGCCAGACTTTTCTCTCGGCTGCACGCAGTCTAGTCAGAGAGTAAAATCAAGGACTCTAAACTCTTGCCAATTCTGCACTAATCGATTAATCTCTAAAGCTACTTACCTTACTACTACTGCCTCCTGTTGAGGATTTTCGTTGCAATGTCTTGTTCGTTTGTGGATGTGTGTTCTAGTTAACAAAAACCATTTCACTTCTTTAACAGTTTGAGACTGGTACTGAACTGTTTAAACTAACGTAAAACGCACTCCCTTGTAATATGTGATATAGAGTCATTACAAAGACACCTGTCAGAAACCATTTATTTTTGCAAACTTTTTTTGTCTTGTGATGTAGATATGGTAACCTTATGCTATCTTGAAAAAATTGTGTGTGTGAATTTTTGAAGGGTCGGGGAGGTGGAGGGGTAAATTTGTTATTTATCATTCTGGTCATTGCTAGTCACCACCGCAAGTACAGCAGTAGCAAGCTCAAAGGGGTCAAATAACCAAGTGAAGTTGCCTCTGGYAGCGGCTATACAGTCGATTTACAAATGTATGACTATGTAGCACAGCTCTAACCAGTTTAAAATTAGTTAGGGTCAGTTTRAGAGGAGGGAGGAAAAACCAGAAGGCTGGGAAAAAAGTAAGAGTCAGAAAGAGAACTCAGCTTTCATGGGATGACTGGGACTCAAACTCTGGAGCTCCGAGGTGTGCATTTTACCTCCACGGGAAGGAAGTATCATCGTTAACCACAAACATTTACCTTTCCTTATATACCTTGCTGAGTCTATGAAGTTAAGACRTGTGGGATATGCTGGCTACTTACCTTACTTGTACTCCTATTATGTTTTGCTCTGTTGACTTGTGGTACTTTATACWGGTTCTTACTAGCAGCTTTGCTGTGAAAAGATTATTAATGGGAACCCAAGTGAAACCTCATTTATTAGCATGGGTTGCCTGTGGAATATTTCTTAACTAGAASTGAATGGCAACAGGATTCTTTGTATTTTGTCTCATGTTCTCATGTTGGCCTGAGTCTACTAGGACTAGGTTTTCACTGAATGGCAGATGAATACCATGACATATATGATACAGAAAACCCAAAAAAAGAATTTTTATATTGGAATGTTATATTGGATTTTAGAATAGCTTGGGTTTTCCTTGGGCTGTGTCAAAATTTAAGACAATCTTTTAACAAGATATACAGTATATATATATATTCTTATCTATTACCTTCTTGGAGTGAGYGAACTTCCTTGGTCATTATAAGCAACCCTTTTAAATCTAGAATGTTTGATAAAGATACAAAGGTTRGTAAAATATAGCAAACAAACAATAATTGCAAAGAGAACAAAGAAACAAGTTTAAGCTTGAGATTACTTACTTTTTTCCATGTCCAACAGCAACATACTGACCACCATTCTCAAGCTCTGAAGGCTCTTTGATCTCCCTACCTTCCATGGTAAACAACCTAGTAAGATTATGAAATATTATAATAATTATACAGACTGAAAACAGAAAAGRCTGGCATAGTATTAAAATAAGCTAATATTGACATCGGAAAGTCAATTGTCTTATTGTTGTGCGGAACAGACTAACAAAAGCTACTAATGATGCATTGTATAGTATCACTCYCAAGAGAGTAAGTAACACTACATTATTACATTCTAATTGATTGTTGTTATAAAATTACAATTTTTGGTTTTCATGTGGCATCATGGCTGCCATGTTGGTGTACAGTTCACAAAAACAAWTTTTCTCTTGTAGTTTTGCATACAAACATGGCTGCCAATTGCTTTGTGACAATATYCCCATTTAGTGGCTTGCGAGGGGTGGGGGCACCCCTTTCAAAGATTTTATTAAGCCTATGAATATGTGAACATGGTGGGAAACTCTAAAGATGCAATGCATACATGTATGCATGAGTATTGATGAGAAAATGGTACATTGCCCCCCCCATATGACTGAGACCTTTTGCACCCCTGCTCCCAGTGGAATGAAAGAGTGGGAAACAATTTATCAAGATTGTTTAAAATAGACTCAAATATAAAGTGAAGTATGTGAAGATCTGCATATTTTCTGGGATGCACAAATTCCTGGAAATTTCTGGACATACAAAACMAATTCCTGGGAGTATGAATGCTTATTTACCAGAACACTGCTCCACTTTGTAGATGAACTTTACTTGTAACAATTTTCAAGACCTATMCATGCAAAGAACGATAAATTCAATATTTTTAATTCTTTCTTACTGCCCAGTATTATTATTAATTTTTGAGGCCAAGTCATMACTGACTCTATTTAACATTTGTCTATGCCATTTGTACTTACATTATCCATGCTAGTTAGGGCTCTTTTGTCAAGAAGCATCTTACAAGATGGATACAGATCATCTCCATTGCGATAAACACTATAGATAAAATAAAATTGAAAAATACTAAATGAATGTTAAAAAAAGGGGAAAACCCTTGGGTGTATAGCTGGGGAAAATAATAATTAATAAATTATAGCACTTTATTTTTTGAGGGTGATTAACATAATAGCCTGCGTAGCAGCCCAAATTGGGGGGAGGGGGTGGGGGCCTGTGGAGGAGGGGACGAGGGGGAATGTCCCCTTCTCCASAGGGCCACCCTTCCTCCTCCTCCCCCAATTTGGGCCGCTATGCAAGCTATTAACATAATGACCCTTCAATCTTCCTGGGTAGGAAGAAGACATTACTAATAAAAAGAGAGACAAAAGACAAAAATAAATGAATGAAAACAACACTCAACACTTGTTGCTATGGTAACCATGAAAAATATTACAAACACTAACAGAAATTAATTAATTTTAAAGATCAGCTATAAGTCATGTTTTGTGTTCTACAGTAGAACAGGTGTTAGGATACTTAATAAGATATATAATTAATAATAATTAAATAAATGATAATTAATCTAAATCAAATAGTTCCTTGTTGGTTGTTGTTACATTCATAATAGTTTGTCTTATCAACCATTAATTTAATAAATATGATCTGAGCTTTTGGCCTACTCGGCCATCCTCAGGGAAATGAAAAACCTTACAATCGACAAAGAAAAACGTGATCAAGCGATCTGCAAACCATGGCATATGTGCGCGCATTAAATTAAACAAATTTGTGCACGCTTAGGAAAAATAAATAAATAAATATAACAAATTAATTAATCAATTAAAAATAAATTAATGAATAAGAAATAAATAAATGAATAATAAAAAAATAGCAATAATAAAATAAGATAAAATAAAAATAAAAATAAAACAAGTGAACAAACAAGCAAACAAACGAATGAAAGCTCGGATCATATCTATTAAATTAACGGTTGATAAAACAAACTATTATGAATGATAATTAATCTGATTAAAATGATTCTTTGAAGAGTATGAACAATGTGAAATGTACATCAAGGTAAATAGCTGACCATTAGCTTTCATAATATGATAGATTTTTTCCTATTTTTTCATTTAGGGATGTTCATYTTTCCCAGGGAGGGGGCAGGGGATGGCTGGATTTGATGGTGACCTTATTATAAAATCCTCCTCAAGATGTTGGGCTATATACACACACAAAAAAATCAAGTCGCACCGCAATTTTGCAACAAAAAGAAAAAAAAGGAGGTGCCATTTTTAAGYAACAACAGAGAGAGTGGTCAGATTTTTGGTTTGGGTAAGCAAGCTAGTCCCACTGCCCCATTTTCCTGATTAAAAATTAATGTTTCATTAATAGATACATACAATATGATCTTGTGTGTACTTGGCTCAGCATCTGCTACTTTCCTTGCTCTAGCCGACATCTGAAGTCTACTGTGCTTAACGGGAGTAATCTGTCAGATATTGAGTTAATGAGAATGAAAAATGGGTGAAATATTTGTTTATTTACAGTGACAATAAAAGTTTATAGAGAACTTTTTGTGCATTTATATATTTTTCGTATTTTATGTTTTATAGCCCAAGTTTATCAGGTGACAAGAAAAAAAATTTCAAGAAAAATGGAAGGCAGGAGAAAAGGAAAAAAATTAKAAAGACCAATTGCTAATGGCCCCTATATGAAGGGACTCTAATGTGAGAAAATGAATACTTAATCAAGGTTATATTGTTTTTGAACCATCTAAATGTAATAATTAGGGATATTGAGCGTCAAGTGTATTAATTATTAACGTACCATCTTAATGAAGTGCTAAGCTTTTTTTAAAAACTATATTATAGTTTTGAAATGWGAAAATTAGAATTATATACGGCGCAAAAGATAGGTATTTCAATTTTAACAGATAGATAAACGTGTAAGGTTATGTACAAATCTCAAGTGCCTATGATTTTAAGCTGTAAAGATTTATAACTAAGTATGAGACTGAAATTACTTGAGATCAATGCCAAAAATCAAAGTAAAGCTTATAATATATATTTGGTTGTAAACTTCTTTATACCTCGACATCTTTCTTTGGATTGAACTTAGCTTGAACCTTGATTTCAGTGTACCTAAAGAGTAGAATTGAAGGTAATTAGAATTGAATTAAAAATCAACTTAGAGTAGAAAGATAAACAAAGCCAAACTCGCTGACCAAACATGAACACGTTGAGTACATAACGACACTTCAACTTGAGTTTACTTACGGCAGTCTCTTGAAACTCTCTGGCCCAACAGCGACATAACAGCCACCTGGCTCTATACTATCTAGCTTGGTAATAGTATGTCCTCCAGTAGGCGTTTTTATAGTCCTAGCAGCAGTTCTAAGCTTCACATCCTTGGTGACTTTATCCAACAACGCATCCATGGTTCGTATCTGTCTTCGGTTTACGACCAGTTTTTTTCCAGGATATGTTGGGTCTCCATTCCTATACACAGTGACTGTTGTTGAAGCCATGTTTGCTTTCGAGGCTAAAGCCTCTTTTGGTGTTCTAATTTAAATTAGAGCCGAGAAAAGWTGTTTTTTCTGAAGCCTGTCTGAATAAGCCCCTTCCTCGTTGTTCATCTCCTTTACAACTAAAAACCATGACGYCACTAATGACAGAATTAACTTGTATACCCTAGCAACGTACATAGCAACAGTAAGACTCGTAGCATCAAAAGATCAAAAAGATCCGGAAAAAATGCTTTTTGAGCCTCAAACCTTATTATTAAAATAATTAAAGGCTTCTTTTTAAATCCTATGAAAAATAACAAACTTCTGAAGCCAAGAATTGAGCACGTGCAGGCCAATGAAGTTAATTAGAATAAAACATTTTCCCCAAGAGAGTCCTTTTCCAAAAGTCCCGAATGCGAAAATTAAATTCTTTTATATCATACTACAAAACATACGTACATTTTAATAACAACAGCCACCTACGTTTGTTGTTTTAAAAGAGAAAAAGACGAAATGACTAGAATTCTTTTGTGGTTCTTTAATTTACAGTTCAAACCTGTTTCCTGCTGTRTTGTAAAATTTTGCAATCAAATAAAAATTTGAATAAACCAAAAAAACAATAGGATCTTTTTATATGTTTCAATAAAGAAGAAACCAGATAAAAGCCTTTTTCCATTAGTTCATGAAAAGTGCTGTTCTGTTTATCGTATCTCTATTGATATAACACTGAGGGGTACTTGAAGAGAAGAAGGAAATACGTGGTTGATATTGTTCCTTCTCAGTTTCGTGAGTAAATTTTTTGTCAAAGTTGTCATTATGATCTGCGTTTCTAATGAAATTGAATGTTCCCAGATAAAAATGTAAGATGAAAAAATGCGAGCAAACTTAATTTTTTCAATTTTGATATACGGCATGGTAACTCGTGAAGTTTTCCATTCCGGAACCACTTATTCACGAACTTTGGCGCTTTCCCCCCCTGAAGACCAGAACACACGGTGATACTGCTGTGCTCGATTTAGGAGGTATGTTACACGTAGAGACTTTACCGTAACCAAAATTCTGGCTAGTGGTAGCCTATAATAATCAAATATTGTTGGTTCATATTATCACGTGATAACATAGTTTGCGCAATATTGCGCGCAACCGCACACAATCTTTGCGGAGGTTGAAGGATAATAGAATAGAATAGAATAGAATAGAATACCTTTATTTAAACACGATAAAATTTAAAGCTAAAAGCTTGTGGGGTCGTGCATAAAATAAATTAAATAAATAAAATATAATATAAGTATGAATCTGT